CCCCGAGTCCGCCCCAGGGGTCCAGTCTCATATTTCTTCAATTCCCCAGTTCCATGGCTCTCAGGACCCTCTAATATAGAATATTTTGAGTGTATAACTTTTATTAATGAGCTCGGTGGACATATTTCTGGCCTCATTACAAGGGTGCACCCCTAGGCGGCAGTAGGCCTAGGCATGGTATTTTAGGCGTAGGCATGATATTAGGGGACTAAAACACAGTGGCTGTTGTTGCGACAGATGTAAAGCTTCTCCCATTTTCTATCATTATGCAGATTTTGGACTTTATTTGATATTTCCCTTTAAGTTTAAAAAAAAGCCTCCGATGAGATAAAATAAAAATGATTCCTACTTAGGCCTATAGGCCTACAATTAGAAACCAACATAAAAAACAATTTGGTATAAAACAGGAAATTAAGGCCCCCAAAAATAAAATAGTCCAAGCACAGATTCAAACTCACATGGTTCCAAACCTTCCACCTTCACCACTTGGCCACATGCCACAAGCGTTCAGCGATCCAGGTAATTTTAAAACCGTTGTGGTGATCAGCTACGTCATCGCACTTGGGCAGTTCAGTGCCATAACGATAGAAAATGAGAAATGCGTTACGACTGGCGTAAAGATAGCCACTTTGTTACTAAAATACTAGGGCTAGTGAAAAAAGTAGTACTGTACTAGGGACATGGTCATGTTTGTGGAAAGGACGGCAGACGACAAACCTCACAGTCAACTACATTTACGCTGATACTCAGCAACGTCCACTTGTGGATATAAGTCATGAGAGTTCTGGAGGAAGCCTGGGCATACTCATCATGCTTGCGTCAATAGGCCTAGTATTAGAGTAGTAGTCGTAGTACTAGCCCCATGAATGGGGCCCAGCTACATGGGGCCAAGGTACATGGAGCCACACCCTCAGCCCCACACTCATGTGCGATAAAGAGTTGTCGGAAATCAACCAAATTTATTTTTGAAATTTATTATTTTATGTCCCATTTGGAAGTAGGCCTACCATGCCTACCATAACCCTCCAAACCCCAAAGGAAGCATTCACTGCTGGGTGGCATGTTTTTGCTGCCCATCATTACCGAGATATTTGGAGGAGAATTTGCTGCTCTGTTTATACATGTCTGAATGGACAGAAGTTGAAAATGTGCCAAGTCATGTACCCAGCTAGTGTGCAAGTGTCCATTAGTAATCGAACTCACGACCCATTTTTCGGAGCCATAGGCTTGTGCAGGTCATGCCATAACCCACGGCTAAGTTATCAAACTACGGCCGGCAGTAATGCACATTGATATATGGACAATGGCCGTCGGCTCTGTGACATCAAGAGGCAGCCGCAGCCAAGTAAATTCAGTTGTAGCTTGTTATGAGTATGTGGCCCTGAAGAATGGGTCATCAACTATTGCTTGATTCATTAACAAGTCAGCACTTTATTAAAAATGGATGAAGAAATAGAATGTTTTTGAAAAGTATATAAATCTTCGGGGTCAGTGTGAAGGTCTCCAAGGACCCTTGGCCGAGTTGAATATGAAATATAATGTAAAATGACATTTCTTTTTATTTTCAGTGCTTATGATATCAACCAGCAAGATGTTGGCAAAACTGCAATGCGCTGTGGTTCCAAGGACAGTTAAGACTCTAACTCTACATTTTGGATCAAATGGGTGCAGATGTCTGTGTACTCACCCATTATTCCATTCGACCTTAGCAGGAGCCCCTTTAAGAGCACCATCATTTAATCCATGCAGGAGAATCGCTTGTTCGCCGTCACCCAACAACGGCAAAGCTGACGTGAAAGTTATTCCAAAAATCAACGGAACTAAATGGAAATCAAGGACCTTGAAACCCAGGAAAATCAATGCGGCCAGCATTATCGACAGCGTCTTTGAGAAAGGTACATCAGATGCATTGCCCGACGACCCAATCTCACAAGACCAAAAGTTCAAAGACACAAGTGTTCATCTGGACACTATACGGAGGCGAGCATTCCTGTCAGATTCTGTTGCGTATAGGTCATCCAGTCTTGAAATTTTGAAGGATAGAGAGCAGAGTTACAGCAGTGTTGATGAAGGGCGTTTGGAAAGATTGATGGAAGATGTTTCTTCTGGGAAAGCACATTTATCAACGCTTTCGTCCTCCGAAATAATTAACGTCATGAGCAGTTTAAGTCGAGCTCCAGTGACTAAATTGTTTTCAATGTCTGAGTTGTTTCTTCCAAGATCTTTGAAGTGGCATGCCAAAATATCCACCGGTGCTCAGATGAGGAATTCGTCAATGTTCTGATTACACTGTGTAGAATATATCCATCCATACTGTCACTGCAACAATGTGCAGACTTGGAGAATGAATGTAAGAACCGATTAGCCAATTGTGACACGAACACCATGCTCCTGGTCTCTGATTGGTGGATATACATTCAGCGCAAGTCACCCTTCAATCGGTGGATCCTGAGTGCTCTTGACTCCAAGGTGGAGAAGATGACGACTCAGAACATTGTCCAGACTTTCTACGTGATTGGGGAGTGCCAGTGGATCCCTTCGGAGGAGTTCCTGCAGCGGCTGACGGACCTTGCTTATCAGTGCCTGGACAGTCTCTCCTGGAATGAAGTGGGGATCATGTGTAACGCGTACATCAAATCACGCTCCCGCATCCTGTCTCGCCCCATTCAGGTGGCCGTCAGTTCCCGCATCTGTCAGGAGATCAACACCGGGGGCCTGGACCATTACAACCTGGTCACCACCATGCGGTTCATCTCCCGGGGCTACTTCCACAGCTGGAACCTCTTTGAGCAGATTGCCTGCGTCCTGACTCCCCACATCCATGACATGCCATTCCTAGTCCCCCCACACGTCGTGACGGCATTCGCCAAGGTGCGGCACTTCAACCAACCCCTCATGGACACCGTGGCGAGCCTTGACTTGAAGACGGTGGACTCTGTCCGCTTGAAGGATGCCTGGATGCTCGTGTGGTCCTTTTGCAGGTTGAACTATGACCCTCCAAACTCCAAGCACTTCTTGAAGGACCTGATCCACTACTTGGACCGGGCTGAGATTTCGGATCAACCCCATCAATTCATGAAAAGCCTAGTAGCATTAACATTCATCGGAGAGTATCCCTTCAATGCGATCAACACAGCATTCAGTCCCCGAGGCTTGGAGTTGTATGAAGGTGCATTTTTGATTATTTCAAGTGCCACCATTTTTCTCTGAGACAAAAGATTGTATTGACAATTTCTTTCACAGTGTGTCAACATCCTTAAGAATGTTCAGATGAACATCAAGGTTACCTTCCAACAGTTTTTGCAGTTTTTTGGGAGAAGAAGATTTGGGGGGGGGCTGTGTGGATGGGCAGGGCTGCAACGAAAGGCTATTTTAAAAGTGATGTCATCTTTGGTTTATTTTCATTTGCTTTCTCAGTTAAATGCCCAGGGGACATTTACAAGCATCTGTTTGCTCTTGACTGTTCCGTGGCCATTGAGAAACCGGAGTACTCGGGTTACCGGCTACCACAGGTTGGAAAAGTCAATATGTGTCAGTGTTACATGAGTTTGGGGGATGAGGAGCAAGGTATTGTTGTGTGTACATGGATTTTGAATTGCGCACTTGAGACGTGATCTGATTTCCGTCTTGCTATATAGTTACAGCTTTTTGTATACAAGTTCTGACTGCTGTGTGAAATGGCAACATTTGCCTCTTCAGGTGATTTGTTGTGTTTTTAAGGTGTCCTATTAAACACCAAATTTTGACTTTTTAAATTGTCCTCTAGGAATTCAAGGACAAGTTCTGGCAGAATCCCCACGGCTCCAGAATCGTCCCCTTTGAGAAGATCCGCGGACTACAAGAGGCCGTTGAAGAATTGCAGTGCATTCTGGGAGGAGCTCAGTACCTGAAGGCCCACCCCATCCTGCCCCACATCAGGACCCCTCTAGGTAAGCCATGGTAGGGCCATGAGGGCCATCCGCTCCATGCATGCACTTCCGAGGGTGCTACAGCTCGTCAGGCAAGGCCCACGAATACCCTGCTCACTGAGACACAGTGCTGAATCAATTGACAGCCAGTAGCATGTCTACACAGTCGCGTGAAAATTCTGAATTGAAATAAATTTTCTTGTATTCTACGCTCCTTTTAGTTTGGCTATCAAAAACTCACCTCATAGCTTCCTCAGAACATGTTAGTGAATGACTTAAGGTCATTCCAAGTCTTTGACAGTCAAGGATAACACTTTCTTTTTACACTGGTGCATGTACTGCACTGTTTAACTCACCGCTGCTCTCTGACCCCTGCTCATTTGCATTGTAGATATCGAGGTACATCTGGATGCTTCTTCAAACCCGTTACCCCTGGCCTCCAAGCCCGAAAGGTCCCTGGAAGAACTTCTCAGTGAGGCAAACCAAAAAGATGGCATACAAAGGTCAATTTAAATATCCCGTCAGTTCAGGATTTTTTTGTGATGTCTTTGTTCGGCTCCGCGGGATTAGCAGTGCAGAAGAACACATGTGGCTGATAAATCTCTTTTGATAAACAATGGGATGAAATGAAAAAAAGGAGTTGGGCCATATTTGGAGAAAGTTCGGGGAGATTTTTGCAAGTTTCTAATTGTTGGTTCACATTCCTCCTTTGCGCATTGCAGGCTGGCGGTGTTGGTTGCTCCAAGTGCCCACTTTCGCCTGCGTTCCAAGGATCTCCTTGGTGTCCATGTCATGAAGAGACGACAGCTCCAGAAGATAGGCTACAGAATAGTTGAGGTCAGTTCAACGAGTCTAACACCCGAAACCCCAATAACCTTGTAACAGCAGTCCTTCTATTTTAATAACATGCAGAAACAGGCAGAAAAATACAATCTTGTTCCCTCTAGTTTTACTCCTTAACTTGACATTTTCAAGAACTGCCTATCTTGTAAAAACTAGTGACACATTTTTTGTACGTCAACTTTCAAGGTGTCAACAACCCAGCCTAGTTCTCTAAAATCCCCCAACCCTCTTCTTGTTATATCATTTTTCCAGCTGCCGTACTATGAATGGGAACCATTGCTGAAGGCTTCCGAGTACCACCGTCATGGCTACCTCAAAGCCAAGATGTTTAAATGAAACCCTAAAATCCTACATACCAACAAATGTTCCATTGGATTTGGTTGTTACAGGAAGAAAGGGCTAGCCTTCCTCCATCCTTCCAAAGTCTCTTTGGGTTCAAAATAATTACCTACCCGTTCTCAGACGAGTCACAAGGTCATGAAAACAATTTTCTCCGAAGTCAGTTTATAGTTCTTAACCCGGTGAGTTTAAATGTGAACCTGTTTTCAGGTTAATTGTAAGGATTTACTGGTAACCGTATTTTCATGAACGCACATGACGGAATGAACGCGCACAATAAGACATAGTGATTGACGATGAATAACGTCCCAGGCAACAAGATCTACAGGTGTCTCTGTAGCTATGTGTGTATCACATTTACCTAGAGCTGTGTAGACACGATTCACTCAATGTAGGACGGCAAACCTACAGATAAAGAACGGCATCCAGTCACAATGTGTTATGACAACAAGCACAGTCAATTTATTTGAAATTTTCTGCAAATAAACATTTTCATTGACAAAAACTAACAAATATGAAGTGGATTCGAGAGGAATATTGTATATAAAAGAACTGTGGACGGAACAGCACTGTTTTTGAAAATAATGCAACTGTTTGAAGACTTCAACTGCTAGAAAAGACTAATGCTGCTCTATGCAACTGTACATTACAATATTTTTCTTAATTCTATTTTTTTAGAGCCACCTTCAATCTTCTGGGTACTTTTGCTTGAATGTCATTCAAAACTTTTGACTGTCAAAAACCATTCTAAAATGTTTCCCAAGGTAGGCCTTTTCTGTGATTTCAGTTGACAAGCATTTTTACATCACAAATAAATACAAATATTATTCAAGTTGTTTCAGGAAAAATCATTCTCTCTGAAGTGCACTGTGCTCAATAGTATGGTGAGCTTATCACATCTGAAGCAAGATATGGGACGCTTTGTGTTGGTCATCGTTTGATCGGAATCTCAGGAATTCTTTACAGACTTCTAGGGGGGATGTGTTGGGTAACAATAGCCGAGAGTGTGTATAGGGATTGGACATGTGGGGGGGGTACCCATCGGCCCCATATCGTGCACGGTATCGCTTATCATCCTGTCAGTGTCGTTCTCATACTAGCACTCCACGCTTGTGACAGCAGTAGACATTTGAATATCACTACTGACTAGAACACAGTTCCTCAGTAGTCTGGACCCCACAAGACCATCACAAGATCCCCCATAAGATGAAGGCAAGACCTCCAGTCTGAATTAAGTCATAAGCTGTCACCGTTCACCCTATTACTTGTGCGTGGTCTTGTGACCTGTATTGTGTTTGCTCTTACGGTCTTCACAAAAATCATTGCAGGTAGTTTTAACTTTCGGGCCTGTTCCTGTCAATGAAGCTTCTCAATAGGAAAATGCAAAATGTATATACAAAAAAAATCATACAATATACCAGAAATATGTATCTGCTCTCCCTACCCCTCTTCAAAAATGAAACTACCCAGACTGTTTAAGTAAATCTTTATTGATAAACCCTTGACTTTTCCAATTTTTAGGGGTTGCAAAGTTAGGAGTCTCACTGTTGGGCACCTAAAGGTAATGTGGCAGCAGGATCTGTTGGCTCTGGTGGGTGACCAGTCTGGATGATCCAGTGGTTGATGTCCTTTTCTGCTTTGTGTGAGTCCAGGTCGGTGTAAGCCACGATCTCGTACTCCCGTCCGAAAGGGGTCCTGAAAAACAAAGGGGACCCAAATGATTGAATGTGATCACAATAGAGGGATTACACTTCCTGTTTTTTCAATGGTTCCTTGCCATGTTCAATGAACCATTACGGAGCACCAACTGCAAGGGGTCTATTATCACTCATCCTGATAACCGCAATTTAGTGTAATTTTTCCTTGTTCTACTGGAAACCAATGGAAAATTTAAAACACAGGAACCTTGTTTGAAGATCTCCCTGTTGACTTACCGAACTGTGGCATCGCTGATGACGCACAGGTCTTGATTGGTCTTGCAATGGTTAAAAATTATCTTCTGGTTGGCCTGCAAAATTACATTGAGAAAATGTCACTGGCATTACCCACAGTGCAACTAACCAACTTTGTAGCTATTTTTTGCCAAAAATCTCTCTAAATTGCCCAAATCCCTCACTGAGGGCCATCTTAATGACACTTTTTAAAGCTCAAACTTAAATATCCTTCAAAAACCTTCAAATCCCACTTACAACTAACAGTGGCTGGACTCTACCTTCCTCAATCCTTCAAAATCTTCCTGAGCCTTGAGGTGGAGTTTGATTTTAATTAAAAAAGAAGAAACCCAGGATTTGATCACAGCAGAGGTGTATCCACTGGTTTTTGGTCCACGGGAGAGGGGCAAGATGGGATTTATTTTCTGAAACCGATTGTGCAAATTTTATCATCAGCATAAGAAACCTCATTCCCCCCAGACAGGTGATAGCGCCCTTTTTAAGTGTCTGCACTTTAATGAAGGGGGAGACATAACTTTTACACCCCTCTCAAGTAAATATACCACTGAATGATAGACTTCCTGTCATCGGGAGTAGGGTGACTTTAGGCTGGAGAAGTTTCAAAAGAAACGGTTATACAAATAACTCACGGGCACAGGCAGGCCCTCCGTCTCCATGCGGAGCTGGGGGTCAAAGTGCAATATGCGCCAGTGGATCAGGTAGGTGGCACACTCCTCAAACGTCACCAGCTGCTTGCGAGTCTTCTTGGCCGACTGCTGGAAGGTAGCTATGTCTGACTTCAACTTCAACTGAAAACACAATCCAGAAGTCACGAAAATATGAAGATGCTACTGCAGACAGCTCTGCGGCTGGAGTGACCGGCATTATACGAGCTTAAAAGTTGGAAGGTCGGACATCTTGATCATAGCGGTGTTTTATGCCATTAACAGGCTCAGCTAGGATCAAAAGGTCACGCCCTCTGTAAGTTTAACTCTTCTTCAGGTGCAAAAGAAATTTGTTAATACTGCAAGAGTTTGTAAGGTCAGAGATTTGAATTGGCAGGAATTGAGGGGTTGCTTGGAAGGTAAGTCACGGGAATAGCATTCTGGTTGCAGATGTCACAAATATCTCTTGTAAGCTGTTATGGGATTCAGAAAAAAAACAAGGAGCTAAACTTTTGGATGGTTTCCTCTGTCACAAGACTGGCGTCAACTTTCGTGAAGACAACATACTGTCCGACTCAGAATTCAGCTTTAGAAGTACAAGAAACCCTTTGATTTTCAAAGGATATTCTGAAATTTGCCAACACTTGTATTTGTAAACTATTGCTTTGCAAAATCTTCTTACATCGCCTCCAATGCCAGGGAGTGTGCTCAGGCAGAAATGCTGGCCGTAACGGAGTGGGGTTCCCTCTGGAATTCCTGCCTCCACGCTGCATTAAGAGAAAAGAAAGATAAAATCGCGGGTGAGATTGGAGGAGAATGACATATATCCACAAAATAATCAGCAGAGGATTTGAGGGTCCCCACAGCAGTGTATGCATTCATGTTTGCCTTAAGGCACCCCTTAAAATAACTACTTCTTGTGATCTAAATCAACTTTGATATGTGAAAACACCTTTGTTTCCTACATTTTAAAAGACAATGAAAAAAATTGTGAAATTTGAAAAATACTGATAAGAAAACTCCTGACAAATCTCACCCTTGTTAAATCTAATCTTATTAGACTTTAACTGATTACCTGTCAAAGAACTGAACACTTCCTAGGGAGAAGAATAATTGTTTTGAGCCATGTTTTCTTGGCAACTGTACAGTAGGCGCTAGCATCAGAACATTTTCAGTTTGGCAGAAAGGAATGATTCTGTACGTACTAAGGAGGCTTGTGTGGAACATAAATTCTGAAGTGCTTGAGCTTTATTTTAAGTGTGACCTTTGGACCCGCTAAACTATGCTGAAACAAAAAAGAGGTCTGTCCTTATGTGCATCTTCAATCTGTTATGCAGATAACTAGATATTCATAATCCATCTACAGTGATTGGCAGGTATTCCACTCCCAAATATCCATAAATGCACAGCCTTAAAGTGTTAAGTGTAAATATAACTCAGTGCATTTCTTTATGAGTCGGTTGTACTTACGGAAGTATGACAAATGTGTTTCTTGCACAGGGCATTAGGAGTCGGCTCCCACTGACATTGCACGTGCCTTCAAACTGTACCGATTCGTGCATCTTCATCTCAGACATGTTGACGGCCAGCGTGTTGGCCTGTCGGGGTTCCACACCAGGCTGTGTCTTGACCTGGTTGGTGTCAGCCTCATTGCGAAGCATGACACGGTCACCGAAGTGAAGGAATCCATCCAGTGTTACCGATAATTCAGTCTGTACACAGGGAAGGGGTGAGAGGAGGGGATAAATGTATGAAATCCAAGACTTACTTTGACTGAATGAAAAAAAAATGAAAATGCAGAAAAAGAATTCAAATCTTACATGTAATACTAAACCAAAGTCAAATGCTTTACCAAGATATCATTACTTTTAGCTTGATCCTAAAAAAAAAATGTATGCAAGGCAACATGAAAGCTTTGACAGGCCAGTTTAGTAGAGAGTTCAAATGTCCAGTTGTTGGGGATTTTCAACTCATATGCGATGGTATTTGGGTTTGAACTTGACAGGTGCCGTGACACTTGTATTCCAATAGCTGCAACAGCAAAACACTTAACCATAATTGCCTCTCTCCTCCCAGGAGAAGAAATGGGTTGATTAGCTATCAAACTGTGCTGCTCTTAAGCTGCTGCAGAAAACTCATCTCTAGGCCCAGTGACCAGGGGTAACAATTGTAAGGGCTTGGAGACTTAGGTCATAAAGCACTATACTGGCACGACTTATTAAACAGTAGCAGTAGTAGAAAGCAATTCCAGTGTCAGATTGAAACTTCCAGTGGAGAAAGTGACTCAGAGCAATGTTTTGCCCATTATAAATGGAAAAATTTGCCCAGATTTCCTCGGGGCACAGATGTGATGAGGCCTCTAACATTCCATTTAACCAAGTGAGTCTGAGGTCTCAATTCAAACCTTATAGACCACACTTGACGCATAAGATCTGTCTGACTTGTGTGCCAAACATGCAATCCTTTTAAGGGATGGAACATTTAAAGGGCCCAAAGCAGAACCTACAGAGGAAATGCATACAGGCAGATTGTGGGACTCGGAAGTGGATATTTATTTCCTCCTTCACACTGATGATGAGATGGATTTGCTTGCAAAGAAAACAGCAATCACACTCCCCCATCTAGACAAAATGTCTGGACCCTCCCCCTTTCAGGAGAGAATCTCGTTTGACACAAGTACCTTTTTGAGTATCGTTTCTTTCAGTCGGGATGATTGCTGAATGGCCAACTCCCCTCTGTCTCGTTTCTCAAGGAAATCTTTCAGTGTGTCCTGTAACAAAGCAATGTGCACATTGTGAAAGGCTGTACTTTACCCTGATTTACTGAGAAGGACGTTTATACATGTCTGTGACTTACAGTGTGGTGGACAAAATATGCACACTGACGAGCACAAACAATACTCGTATCCTCTCAAGCCACTGTGCACTTGTTAGGCCCCAACTACGGCAGCAGTCCCAACTAACATATAGTTAAAAAGATCCCAAATGTCTATAGAACGTGTTTCAACAATCTCCATGTTCTTGCGGAACACGCCCAACAGAATTCATCCAGAATACGCCAACGTGGCATTTCTTCCAGGAATACAGATTAAAACTATTTTCTGCTAGCATGAGTGACCGACATTAATGAAATAATGTTGGCATGTGTTGTGGCATCCACTGACACTCTTTGCTATATACAGGCCTGCCCAACTGTAGCACTACATGTGGGTCTGTCCCAACTATAGTTTCGACAAATGTCACAGTTGGGGCATAAGAACTCATTCCCACATATCATTGTGCACGAACATCCAATGGAGTCTTTAGGAGGACACTTCCCAAAATCAAGAGGAAGCCTCAAAGATGGTGTACATTAATGGCCCTTCTTTAAAGTATTCAACACAGCAGGACCTTCAAAGGTTTCTAAATAAAACATTCATTTTTACTTTATTTATTCTTGCTTTTTAAAGACATAGATTTGTTTTTAACAAGAGGGTGTTTCACACATGTTCAGATGATTTTTGCATTTTAGGCCAAGGCCTGATGTTATAATAATTTTACAACAACAACCTAACTCCTGAAATGTTACCAAGTATTAGGCCTAACTTTTAACTATGCTGTGCTAGGCCCTACCCTAGGCCTAAAATCAGTCATGCCCTTGGGCCTAACCAAGTTTCATCAGTTGGAAAGAATTCCATATACTGACAAAGCTAATTTTCCCTTAAGTGATAACGTGCTTAAAAGTGAACTTTAGCTGGGAAATTTCCCAAACATTCACTTAGAAAACACTTAGACCCTAGGTTTTTTCAGGCAAGTCTCATACTGTGTACAGAGGCATCAAATGTTGTGCTAGGCCTAACTCTTTTTTTAAATTTTCCATTAGTTAATTTAAAGTAGGCCGAGGCATGCTTGCTTTATGCTAGGCCGGCCTGTGGAGTAAATGGGATTGGGAGTTGACAGAATCTACGATAAAAAGGAATGAACTAGAGACAATGGGCGTATACACCTCTGCACTTTTTGTGCCTACCAATAATAGTGTGATTGTGGGCCTACCAGCAAGTTTTGTGAGCGTAATGGCTAAGCCCCATCATGCCATAAAAATGAAATTCTCACCCACATCGACACAGCATTCACAAACAGGACGATAAGCAAACTGCTGATAAAACTTAGAAGTAATATTATTACACAACCTACCTCCTCAAGACAAATATCTTCAATCCAGTTTGCAACTCGCACGGACGGATTGTATGTTCTTACACTCATTTTGGTTTGAGATTTTATTTGGATCTAATGTGATGATACGAATCGGGGGAAACCGGAAGAGTAAGTACACAAAATGATAAACAGTACGGCCGACCGACGACTTCCCTAGCAACTTTGTAAATAATCGGTGGTGCGCATGCTCTCACGCGTCTACCAATGTCTGCGCTCCAAAACTGCAAACGACATTCTGAACAGTTGTGGAATAGTCTATGGCACCCGACTAATCTTCTAAAAGTATGGGGGATCTGAAATACCAAACTCTGTAGTGGAGTTCAGGTCATAGAATAGTCCGTTTGTTCATAAAATTAAATTGTAACTTGAATATAAAAAATGACCAGAAATCCTTGAAAACCTACGAATTTTTGTAGTCAAAATACGATTTTTTTGTTGTTCCATTATTTTATTAACATTTACTTCCCCGCAGTAAAAACAAACAAAACCCTCTAGCTGTCTTCCAAAAAAATCAACGAAACACTGACTAGTTCATTTTGCTACACAACCTTTACTTTTTCCATGGAGGTGCTTTTTCTGAAATAAGGTCGTGATTGCCCCAACCATAGAGGAAGGAAAAGACACTGAATGCGACACTGAATGCAGAAAATACATAACTCACTGTACATTCTCGGGAACTTCCATACATTATTGAGTAACATAGGTAAGGGCAAATAATTTTACCCCTTTAAATTTGCTGTGCGCTAACTGTTCGTAATGCATGACGTCATGCCGACAGCGAGAATGTTTGCATTGAAGATGCTACAGCTGGCCACGCCCACCCCGCCCAACTTAACACGGCCATGACACGAGTACGCGTCATACCCAACACAGGCACCAGGAACAGGAGCTATATGCTTGGAATAAAGGCAAATTCTAAATTTCATTTCAAGGTGAAACTTAACTGGGTAGGGCTGTTGAATGAGCAAGACCAATGAATCATATTCCTCTATGATCATTTCGAACAGATTAAAGTGTTTTTTATAACCATAGCGCCCTCTATTATAATTTAAATGCCGTTAAATTCACAACGTAGGCGCAGCGATTAAACTCTTGAGGGATAGGGTATATCTCCATAATATTCAATTGGCCTAACATTCAAAAATTTGTGTTTTAAAGGGGGATTGAATAAAAGGAACATTATACTCAAAAGAAGGACCCGCAAAAGCATACACTGGGCTGTCACTGTCGGTTGAATTGCAAATTCAAATAACGGGTGAAGTTTCCCCCTCCGTTTATAATGGTTGAATCTGACAACAGTGCGTAACCGGCTGTACACAACTGACTGATTGAATGAGCGAGGCAGGTGAATTTGCACACGTTGTACATCTATAACATTAACAGTGTGCAGTTAAGTTCGTATCAATGGGGTGGTTGTTCGGAACAATGTAATCTCACGGATTCTTTGCTAATTATTAACTTTCTCGAAGTCCTGATGTAATACGCCATTGTCATAGTGAGTATACATTTTATGATCTCCATTGGCGCCATTTAGTTTAATATAAGTGTGTACATGTGTTCAAAACCCTGGTTAATAATAAATATTGAACTGGGTGTCTCTGCGACAGGCCTTGTCAATATCATGTATGCGTCATCTGGTCATCGCTCTTTCATACATTCCAAATATTGTAAGAACTGAAGAACATCTCTCATTCACATTTAACCTCCATCATCCATGTCCTCAATGTTTATTGTGTCATTAAATGAGGAAAATGTTTGAGTATTTTTGAAACCATGATGCATGTAAATACCAGCTGAAGTCGACTAGCTTAGGGCCTAAAACTCACTAGGCACGCTAGGTCAAAACGGCTAAAATAGAAAAAGTGTCTCGCCAAAGAGTGACGTGTGTAATCATATTTTAATACATGTACATGGTATGATGCTTTACACACGATCTACATATTAATGGTGGACTTTGACTCTAATGCGGACATGTGGGTAAAATTATGTGAACAATTTAAACAGTAGTTGTGTGCTTGTACATGTACGAACATGTAAATACTAAATGGTTATATGCGTGAGCTCCACATGCCATTAATTTCTAGAAATTTGTACCATATCAACCTTTTGCTGATTGAGCATACAATTGTGGCATTTGCACAGACATTTTGAAAGGTACAACTGCTGGTATTCAGTATTGTGTAGGATTATTCAGCCTTGTCAGATTTCTTCAGCACATGTGTTTTTTCATGTACATTAACTACATAGTTTTTGTGCATTCCAGTTTTTTGAATTTTTGTCACCGCATTGGTGTTTTGTTTATGGAGGATTATTATGGCTTGACATCATAGTTTCTTCTTTTGTGTATTTTGTTTAGAATCATTGCCTAATGTGTGCCACATGAACGCACGCACCATTGCTGAAAGTTATCCGTGGCAATCCCCAATCTCCAATGCCTATCAGCGAGGAAAACGCGGCCAGATCGCTGCGCCTCCTGACCGAATTTCGGGATGCTGCTGGCAGCAGCGCTCAACAGCAGGAAGATGTCCAGCGCAGTATCGACATCCTTAGCGCATACCTCAACAGCATTCTCCCAGCAGCTACGTCCGTCGCTGCTGGTCGGGAAGGGCTGGGAAGGTTTGCAGGGGATGGCGATCGCAACAGGGAGGAGATCAAGGTCTTTGCTTTTCAGTCGCCCCCAGCCCCAAAGAGCACCTTAGACTTTGGCCTGGTTCTGCAGCACGGCGCTGCGGCACCGGCCACACTTCAGCGCCAGCAGAGACTTGAACCTACCGCAGCTGTTCTCCTGAATGGCAAGGCTTTGGGGAACATACGCATTGCTGCCATTGCCCCAGGGTCATTCGTGCAACAGGATGGACAGTTGAAAGTTGGGGATGAGATCATTGAGATAAACGGACACCTGATGGAGCGATGCTCCACAGAACGAGCAAGGTAAGGCAGAGACACTCTTGCAACTATAGTGTACTCGTAAATTCAGACTGAGGAAATTAATCACTGATGTCCTCACTAGAGGAATGGGAAACAAAATACAGTGTTCTTGATTGTTTAAATCAGTAAGCAAATGTGGATTGCAGATTATATCTCTTCAGATCACAGATTAATAGGACTTATTCACAGGGATGTCATTCTGGATCATGTTCCTGAATTTATTGTATTCAGTGTAATCTGTCAAAGAGATTAGTACCAGACTAGGTCAGTTCCATGCTTCGCTTTCAGTTTTTCAGTGTTGCTAAAAATGTTTAGATATAAGGAACCACACATTTGTAATGAGTCATTATTGTAAATGAAATTTACTTAAAATTCTTTCATTGCTTTCATTTTGATTCATAGGTTTCCCCAAAATAAAGCAGTTGACCTTGGTTTCACTTGAGTACCTCGATGTCCAATGTGTGAACGCAGTCAATTACAATTGTTTGGAAATATTGACTCTTTATACATGTATTTGTGCTTTTGTTGCAAGCGTTTCAAAGGTTATGTGAGTAAAATATTTCCATACTACCTGCAGGTAGTAACAGCTGCATTTCACATCGGAAGAGAGACAATTTATCCAAACTTTCCTAATATTTTCCTGGTAGAAACAAAGTGACACAGTTTTGGTAGAACTCAAGCCCCATGTATGTACAGTACGCACACAGTGGCTGACCTCTTATCACTTTCTTCGTACACAATCTTCTAAACCCCGTGGCAGATTTGCCAGGATTTGAGGGGATTATGGCTTTATACCCCAGTGCTCTGTCTTTGCAGTCCAACTTTCAATTTGGTCAGTGCATCAATTTCTAAAAGCCATTCCCAAAATACTGGACATGTACATAGCGTGTATTAAAGTAGGTCATTTCTGTGGTTCACAATAAAGTGGTATTGATCACTGCGTCTTTTGTGTGTACATTGGAACCCGTGCATTGGGTCTTTGTATTCACGCTTGTTCAAGTGCGATGATTGAACTAAACTCATCAAACAACAACAAAAGTCTTTGTTGGGCAGCAGCACACAATTGCTCACTTTTCAAACAAGCTCAAAGGTCGGAGAATTTCAGCAATGCTTCACCCGTCGTAGGAGTTGAGTTTTTATCAATGCTTGTAAGTTGCAATCCCACTGATTTAGCTGCAGTACTTGTATGTACATGTACATGTAGGCTATTGCAGAGCCTCGGTGATGGCAGCCAATATATGATGTTGTAAATTTATTTATTTTAAATTTAGGATGCAGGGACATGTAACTTAGAGGAAAGAATGGGGAAAAGTTTACCCCATGTACATTTCACATCACAAGTATATCAATTTCTTTCATGACAACTGTGCAGGTCATTTTCCAACATCTGCATTTCATGTACTTTGGCCAAGGTGTGCACTATATACTCTGACAAGTTGGCATCTTTCGATTATAAAGTCAAGTGATATCATACTGGTACATGTGTGCTATATGAGGAATATCCAGCCCTTCAGATGTCAAACACCGGACAACATTTCCCTCAGAATTCTCAGAAATCCACAGCGAGCCTTGCCTGTAGTGTTTCCCGCCTGCGGGAAAAAAAAAAGAAAAAAAAAAAGGACAGATGGTTTGTGATAACTTCTCCACTGGATAATTGAATTGGCTCTCTATTTCCCTTAGCTTTTCTTAATGGGTGGTACGCACAGGAACAAGTGAGAACAGGGGGATGTTTGGAATTACCGCACTGTCATAACCAGGGGCTAATTGCCACCATATCGCTCTCCTTTAGAGGTGAAGAGCTCAACTTTCCACAGAAGAGATCATTAAAATGCTCTCTTTCAATTGTGCACAATTCTACGAAGTATGAAGTTTGACACACATTGCACATGCATGCTTATTAATATCGGGCCCAAGGTTTTCAGGAAGGGTGTTACCATGGTTTAATTCCATGTCTTGATTCTGAAATCTACCATTTATTATTTTAATGCAATGCCTGGTTAATGTACATGTATTTTGAATAAATTCCGGTTTGCTGATCATCCCAATCTTAGATGTTCATATAGAGTCTACACAGTGTGAAACATGGGGTCATTGTTTTGTTTGCGGCAGTTATGTAAATGATACATAAATTTACAGTAAAAATCCTTACAGCGCTCATTATACATGCATGTACAACAGCTGAATACTGTGGATTCATCTTGGTGCAGCCACGGACCATTTGGTGCAGCTAACTACACCGGTAGCTGTTTGGCATTCCTCCATTCTGAGTAAGAACGGAAACATAAATTTTGAAATTATACTGTGCATACAGTACCATCCATGTACATGTATGGCAGCGAAAGTCTCAGTTTGCAATTGAGTCTCAAGCATTTTGCAACAAATAGAAGTTTGAAAAAAATAAACAAATCAGGGACTAGTTACAAACAGCCATGATGCTGAGTCAATATTCCTACCATACGGGAGTACATTGACATGTACATACATGTATATTTTGCCACATCTGTGCTCATGACAATAAATTATGTTAATTTTTCGCGATAACTGATGCACTATGGAGTGTATTCCATGAGGTTCAAATTACAAGCAACTCCAAGAATCACTTTTGAGGCCAGGAAAGGTCAACCCCTCCTGCTGTGTCAAGGTTGAATGCCAGTATTGGCCATCACCATGGCAACCACAGCATTCCTTTATGGCTGTTCCAGCAAAGGTCAGGGCTCAAAGGGTTGACCTGTCCATCGGTCAAGGTGCAGTGAGCTTTGGGTCAAATATTTCATGCTATCGCAGGCATGGATCTTTGGAAGGGTGATATTATCATTGGCTTTTACTTTGGACCACTGTATAGCACTTAACGCATGGTTGTGTTACAGACATGTACATGTACATGTACTGTACATGTAAGCATAGTGCAGTACAGCAGCATTCATGACTAGAGGTAATGTACAGTTTTACCAGTAGGAAGACTAGAAAAGCAGGTTAGAAGTACATGTATTAACCCATACCCTTCCCCAGTCTACCCAAAATATGAACACTTGTAAGGGCAAAAGCAGTTTACTGGTTCCATTTTTTAAAATTTCCTGAGGGCAGCCTAAGACTTTTCCTACCCCTTCCTCTACATTGCCAGACGTTATTTTCTGTTACAGGTTTTTTTTTTCATTTTGTTTTTTACTTATCTTTAAAATTTTATCATTCCATGTCATTACACATCTCTTCACTACCGGTAATTGCTTCCAAAAACAGTGTTGTTTTTTCTGAAGTCCAGCTCACAAAAACCATGTTTTTGGCATATACTGTACCAGTTTTTTTTTTGGGGGGGGAGTTAAAATGAACTCATTGATAATTGCAGCAGAGACTTCCTGGTACTGGGTAACTTTGGGGGATTTTACCAAAATACTGTTGTGGCACCATATGTGTGGAAACCTTCTCTTTTACGAAGGTCACGTCTGCTAGGCTGTCAGTGTTTGGTGGATTGAAGGGGTACTTTATCCAGTAAACCGTGTTGACTCATGTAAATAGTATGTGGGAATGACAACAGCCAGGGGAATTTTTTTGTGTGTGATCATGGAATTTTTCTTGTTTGGTGCCCCTGTGGGGGTCCTTGTTGCCTGTGTGATGGGTTGGGTAGTCTGGCTTGTTCATGCAGCTGCTGAAAAGTTCTATAATTCTTGATGCACTACGCAATCCGGGAGAACCAGGAACGAGGAGTGCCAGCTTGCATGGTTATAAATAAATTGTGTAACTTGCGTTGATGTCTGGAAAGTACATCTTTCAGTAACCCCCAATACCGGTAGGTTGAGTGGAATTACAGTTATGTACATGCTAGTATATGAATGCGGAAAAGCTTCTTTGTACTGAGCTTACCAAATCTCGATGTTTAGCGTTGCTTCTGAAGGTATGTACTGGTGCAGTACCAGTTCATGGATGTTTGCCTAATGTAACAACTGGTCAAATGTAAATAATGGTAGATAGCGTTTGTACATGTAATGTGTGCTAGTGACTGATACTCTCCCCTCTTTGGAAATCTGACCAAACCCTGTATCATGTGATATTGATGGTGTTGGGGAAGGGGAGAATATTAAGCATCCATGGGGTACATTTAATAATACACACTTGTGTTCATCTTTGGCAACACTACCTGTACTTCAAATATATGTACTAGAATTGACATCAGGGGGTAAGATAACTGTGTACATGTACATGTACGTGGTTGAAATGAGTGGTCATTTGGATACATCAGGACCATTTGAGACTTTAATGAACTTACAGTATAAAACGTAAGGAGAAAAGTGAATGAACTTACAGTATAAAACGTAAGGAGAAAAGTGAATATTCAACATCGAAGCATGCATGCTGATCAATATGTTGTATCCATGGTAACTGTGAACTAAAATAGGCCTACATGTACGTGTACCCACATGTACGTGTCTGCACTCAGAGAACATCTGCTGTTGAATCAATCTGTTGTACATGTAGCTTTGGGTGTCGGCATTTTCTGCTCTAGATAAATGACAGTCTTGAGACAATTTTGAAACTCTATGCATCATGCATATATGTACATGTACATGTATGTACCGGTAGATGGGGGATGTACATGTACCTGAATGTGGTTTGCTTGAATGTACATGTACAGGAGTACTAGTTCATAAATATAGTTTTATTTGTAAAAGCTGCCGAACGCTTCATTTAATCGTGGGTTAAAATCGTATGTTCTTCAGTTGTTCACTCCAGTAGACCGTGATACTTCTTCATTGATCCCTAAACATGCTTAGGAATTTTTGACCCTCCGTACCCCAAACCCACTCATTTTTAGGTTGATAAGTATGCATGTTGTGAGCATTTCAAGAAACTTTAGAAGTAGGTACATCATGTAATTTACAATTTTCTGACCTTAACAAACAGACACAAGAAACAAGTGCAAGCACAATAATAATGAATTAATGGGATGTGTCATCTCAGTTCCACGCCCTGATTGTCCTAGAGATTTTGCCGCTATCTTTCAGGACCACAACTCGGCCTTGCGCCACTTTAAGGCCGGTCAGTTCAATGTGGCCCATCAATTGTGGGTTTGAATTTGTGTAGCTGACTAGTGGGAGAGTGCATGCAGACCGTGTTGTATGAGGAAATCACCAGATCCCTGCACTGCCCTTTCCTGTCTCCAGTCATTGACAACAGCCAGAGATAAGAATGAAAGAAAAGAGAAGAGTTTGGGCCGTCAATTGAGTCTCCTTTGCTGTAGTCAGGATTTGTCAGTCCCTCTCCTCCCAACTTATAGAATCACTGGCAAGTGGGCTTGACTACTGTGTTGATACACTTGAAGCACTTGAATGTGTACCAGGTATTTGTCAGAGTACATGTACATGTATATTACCGGTATGTATACTGTATATTGTCCTTGTGTACATTGTACATGAATTTAAAAATTTACCCGTCTGTGCTATCAGTTGTCGAAGTTTTCATCGTTTTACAGATGCTGATAGGATGTAAGATTAAAACAAAACAAAAATTGGCATAAACCGATTGAACAAATCAAATAAGGTTCAGTCAGTTGGAATTTTCTCATCAAGTTTCACTTTGTTGAGAACTGCACCATCATTGTTGGTCGAAAGTGGTCGCAAGAAAGGAAATTACACAGGAAGTTATCATTTCAACGAGCCACTACAGAACTCATTGAAACTGACAGTTACTACACACACACAGTGCACGCACCAACTTCTGTTTGAATGTACTTGTGAGGGATATGCCAACACAGTAGGCCTGTTGGCTATCTGGAATACATGGAGTTAGACAACAATTACTGTAAGTTGGTGATAAGTATCATGACTTTCTGATCGTTCAATCCTTCCATTTTTCAGTGAGAGTTGTTTGTACAAACCGGTATGCCCCGGTCGGAAACTGCCCAAAGTCCCTCAATTTATTAAATTTATGTAGACAATGTACCGATACAGTTGCACCTGCACTTGGTCCAAATCCAGGCTGCATACATGTATTGAATATTACAAGCAGCTACCATATGGTAGTACTGTATGTTGAAAACATTCATCAACCGTGGACTTGAGGGCAGTGCAAAAAAAGAACTACCATACATGTTTCTACAATACCATGTCCATGTACGTACCTGCACATGTGGCTTATTTCATATGGAGATACATGTGCATGTGTGTGAACCAGTTTGGTTTCAAGCTGGCGCCGTGAGGATCCATGGCCCCAGTGGCATTCGAGGGATGGCCCAGACTCCCATTTTCATCACCAGCAGAGGAGTTTCATGTACGTACTTACACCCATGCAGAGCCAGCCACTGTTTTTCAAAGGGGTTTGTTCCGAACAAAGACCAGTTTTGTTGACATCAGTAAGATGGCTGTGATCTACTAGTACAGTGGCAGAGGTTCAGCTGTTCGAAACAAGCTTTTGGGGGGCAGATCGACGCTCATGGTCTGTGGAATTGGGCTATTCGTGTTCACCAACACCGATTGAGATCCCTCTTTAGGTTTTATACTCACCAGCTGCATAATCCACTGTAGACATGAGCCATTAGACACAATGACACACTGAAAAGGCACTGAAGATGTCACTCAGCTGACAAAAACTAGAGCCCAGTGACTGTTGGAGCATTATCTCCCCACTTGAATTTGTGCCTGAACTATGCCCAAGTTGAATTTTAATCTAGAGTTTTTTTCTTTTACTTTAAAACTGTTGAACTTAGAAACTGAAGTGTTTGCTTGACCTTTGATTCCATTGATGTGATTCTTGTATTGGATGATTTCATGCCGTGTAATTTGAGTTGTGTCGCCCATACTTGTTGGATCAGGACTGTGGTTGATTTCCCTTGTGGGAACAAATAACGTGAACGTTGACAAGCACTGAAGTTGTCCACAGTGGACAGGATCTGATGTACATGTACAGTACATGTAGGTATCGTCTGCCGAAGTATCTCAGCAGTGTTTTAATCAGAGCTTGTTTCTGAGGCTCTAGAAGGTATAATGCTTTAGGAGTTGTTGACAGAAGGATTTGTGTTGGCGTGGTTACTCTGAACGAGTTTTGGGATGAGTGTTTGGACACATACAAAGTACATGTACCAGTAGCTGCAATGCCAGAGTGCAGGAAATGAAGACATTGCAAATGGGCTCAGCCAGATCCAAGAACCTTTGGCATAAATGGCACTTTTTATCAGATTGACTCATAATGCCAAGTCATAATCAAACATGTCAGAACCAAATTTGCAGACTGCTTTTTTTCTCAGGCTTCAGTCCTATGAAATGACGTCACTTTTTATTTTAGTTATAACCAGTGACATGTGGAAAAGAACTCAGTGTACAAGTACATGTACATGTATAAGATCTGACGGTACGATGTCATGTTCCCGTAGGTACTGTGACGACTGTGCACTGTGCCAAGATCAGGCCAATGTTTGCAATAGACAGGTATTTGGTCAAAAATTGTGTGCTTTAGGGCCTAACTGAAAACCAATCCGTTTGGCTTGTTTTCATGCGAAATATTCTTCATCAAGCAGTTAGGGCGTTCCAGCCAGCAAATTCAGACTTGTCCCTACTTGTCTGGCTGACATCAGATGAAAATGTGGTCTTGCATATGAACCCCTGGGTGTACAGGAACGCGTACAAGTGTATGTATCTCATTTTTGTGCTTAGTGCTTCTAAAGAGTTTAGCAGTCTGAGCCCTTTGAAGATTGAGTATGCACTGTACATACAAGGTGTTTTCTTCTAAGCATACATTTACATATAGGGAAACAACTCAAGGTTGCTTTCCACTTTTAAAGGCAAATCTTGCCATGTTTTTGTAGGGGGGGGGAGGAATGATTGGCAAATGCTAGTGCCTTCCCCATTAAAGTAGAACACCCTTCTGGTTGTTTTTCACTCAGCCATAGTATTAAATGTATGTACTTGGATGTAAATGCAGTTGTTCAGTGATTTTGACTGGCAGAGGACAGCCTCGCCATCAATGGCCCGATGCGACCCACTTGACGTGATTGAGTTGTACATGTACCTCAGAAATCACACAGTGCTTTCCTGTCAGTTATTTAGTATACATGTACGTGCATGTATGTATTGGCCCTCCAGAGTGTGGCCTGCCCATCAAGAAGGTGACCCGAGAACAGGGAAGACTGCCATTTACGTCACGCTTAATGTCGGCTGAAGGATGGAAGGAAATTAAGAGTCATTGGAAAATGTTGAAGTTCCCTTGCCAGTCAGGTCCAAACGGGGAAACATCCTAATAACATGAAATGGGGACTCAATCGTGACCCCCCTTTCCCTGACTGGCATCAACATACCCATGTTTGTTCTGCACGTGCCAGTACGTGAACATAACCATGTCATAATGACATCACTGGGATTATGTGAAATCATTCAAGCTTTTCAGGATTGATGTGATATACACTGCGTATGCCTTTTATAATTTACTACCCTCAAAAAGATATTTCTTTTGGAAAGAGTTAAAGACTTTAATAGTCTGTTTTCGGAAACACCGTACGTAAATGTAAATTGCACATTTGCTTATGCTAATTTGTAGCGTACATGTACATCCAGGTGGTTTGCCAGGCGTTCTAGAGTGTCAAGTGCCGGTAAGAAAGTTACTGAAGTACTTCTACATTCAGACATTTGTTTTTCTAATGTCTGATCCCTAGTTTTGGGGAAGGACTGTCTGCTTTCTGCAGCTGTCCCCTGAGGTACCGAGATGGGGCGATTCTAAAAAGTAACCACAAATGTTTGCCTTCCTCCCCAGATTCCTCCTAGATAGTGCCCTGAGGTCAGGTAAGCTGTGTGTGGCCATATTACGGAAGACCAAGAGGAAAGCACCAAGGCCCCCTCCAGCTTCCTGCCCGGACCAGACCAGCCCTGTGCTGGCTCACAGAGAGGCATTGCTCCCGTCATCCAGCAGACAACATCTGAGTGCTGTCCCTCAGAAGGAGGTCGAGGGGGCAAACGAGTACGCTGCACTACATGCAGGCTGTTCCGAAACAGTGAGACAAATCGGCGGCGGCAGCGATCAGCCTCTCGAGACGCAACACCTGACTGCCATTTCCCTTGAGGCCGATGCCAAGAACGGCAGTGGCCAGTCTCTCAGTGCTCACCATCTCAGCTCGCTGGCACCTGAAGACGACATGAATTTCAGCCGAGGTCATCCCCGACCCGCAGCCGGAAATCGGCTTTCGGCATCTGTTAATGGTGGGGGGAAATTCAAGGGGCGCACAGACAGCAGCGAGAGGGGTGCAAGTACAAAGAGGCCGGCGCCAAGACAGCCTACCGGGCAGGAACCCTACACAGTTAGGATGGACGATCAGACGCCCCCGCCAAAGACTGTCAAGGTTTCGGAGACGGCACCCCCAGTATCCGTGGCCAGGAGTGACTCAGTGCTATCCAAAATGTTACCAGAAGTCAAGCGGAATGTAAGTGCATATCACCTCTGCATGTTTACCCACTGAATGGAATGAGTAATAGGATTATTACCTGGCAAGTTCCCCAGCAGAAAAGCTGAACCTGGGGTAATAACTTGAGACTGCAACCAAAATGCATCTGATTCTTTGATGTGATGTTTCAATAATAGCATTACATGTAGCCTCACATTTGGTGTAAGCTTCAGCCTCAGACACTGTGTTAGTGACACACAGATAAAAAACAGAGTTTGGGAACCCTTGGAACTACATAAAAAGAAATTTGTAACCACATAAAAAAAATGTCAAAAAATGAAAAATTGCTAGCATTGGTTAATTAATTTGAAATAGTTATTATTTTGGAGCTGAAACTTAAGAAATAAAAGAAATTTCACTTTCAAATGCTCATGACTACGAAAATCTGCATTAGTGTCTATACATATTTCAAAAATGCCCCAACATGCACTCTAAAGGGTGTAATTCCAGTGAAACACATTTGTTGAAAGAGTCTGATGACATTGTTTCGAATGCTGGCGCCACAAGAAGCTATTTATGTGCACGTGGATGGCAGCAGAGAGTGCTTGTCAACCCATGTGTAGCGGACGTTGCGTTTGACATAAGTTTAACCATTAATTTTANCTACACCATGTAAATGTGCAAAGGGCACCTGTGCTTTCTGACACATGCTGACCTTTTCTGCTGCATTCCAGAAGCAAATATTGCAGAAAGGCTTTGACAGATTTGGACACTTTGGCAAATTAACGGTTTCCCCAAGACTCAAATGGGGCGGGCCATCGGGGAGTTGGCACTTACAGGTAAACAGTGAAAATGAAGGGGGCACCATCAGACGATTTTTATCTGAAGTGTGAAATCGTCAGACGATTTTACCCCAGCCAAGTCTTTCCACTGGGACATACCAGGAGATTTTAGCTGGATTGAGAAATTCGGTCCTTTAATTCACTGCTATTATTAATACTGGGGGCTTGTTTCCCTCCGGACAGCTGAAATACAGCGAGTAAGGCTACGGTTTGGAGGATATTGGAGTATATGGTTAAGTTACTAACCAAAACACCAAGCAAGTCAATGGTTACATTCAAAATACAGTTCAACTTGAAGAAATTGAAATTGCTTCCTTGTGTAAAAGTGAGAAGTATATCACAGAATAACTATTGATAAATGTGTGGTTGCACACAAATACCATGACAGATACTTAAAAAGCAAAGTTGGAATGAGACAATACACAGGGGCATGTACGTGTAGTTGTGTACATGTACGTACAGGAAAGTACATTTACCTACATTGTAAATGTACACAGTTTACTGGTTAGTAAAGTTGATACAGAGCATCTTTACCTAGTGGCATATCCTCACGCAAACTTGTGCCTCTCATTTCTGAAATTCCTCGTTTTCTTCCTTTTATTCCTCCCAGAAACGAGAAGTTGTGAAAATCCACCTGGTCAAGAGCAAAGGCATCCTGGGCATCCAGATTGCTGGTGGGAAGGGGTCCAGGAAAGGGGACATTGGCATCTTTGTGGCCGGCATCGACGCAGGTAGCCCTGCCGACAGGTGAGAATCTCACGAGGCCAGACCCTATCAGTCAGTGTGGCCATACACCGACTCGCATGTACTGAATATGGTCAAACTGGCTTGACATCGGGTGATTATTTTCAAATGACTTTGTCCTTTTGAACGTTCTTATTGTTGAATTTCAATTGTAAGGCTTGCCCAAACCAAAGTCTCACAAGAGAAAAAATGACATGTACATGTATGTGGTCTGATTGGTGTGCCTTGTTCACAGAATGGTTGCTTCAAATCTTTAATGAAGCTTTCAAGTGACTAAACAAAACAAAAAGATTCAAGTACCAAAACCACATAAAAAGAGAAAAGGTTACTGCCACTTGTGGTTCGATATCCGGTATCAGGGTACCCGTTGCAGTCCTAAACCCAAACTCTGGCTACTATCCATTCAATTCAGGTTTGTGGTTCAAAATGAAACAAAGTATTCATGCTGGTGTTGGAAAATGAAGACTGCGTGTATTTTCATTTTCCCCGACATCCTGTTTGCCTCTGTACTTCGCAGAAATTACAAGTGTTAATTGTCATGTCTTAATAAACACACATGCACACAGTCTTCCTTTTCCTGTGGGTGATTTTTGTCTTTATTGATTGTGCATGAAGACACTGATTTTTAATTTCCCCCGGGGGGTGTTGTGTGCTTGTTTATAAATGAACTCCACAGCTTATAGCTTTTCATCTTTGTTATTACTAGCACCGGTTCTTGCTGTACATGTACCTGGATAATTCCAGAAATTAGGGGTCCCAAAGTGTGTCATTTTTGTGTTCCTGCTGCATCTGACATTTGTTATGTGACAAGGAAATATCACCAGGATTGATTTCAAACTATTACTATTTGTTTGGCCGGTAATTTGCTTTAATTCATCAATCTTGGAAATTAGAAAATGTGTTCTGAGCTTACGGTACATAATCATACGTTAGATGTGACAGGGACACAAAAAAAATGGACCCCTAATTTCTGGAATTACCCACCTGTATGTTCTTTTATTATTTTGAGGGCCACACACTCACAACATACGTGAGTAACATGGAAGGTAATTGTGTTCTTGTACTTGCAATTATAATGTTACATTCTTTTATAGTTACATATTTCATGTTGATTTTTTGTGTTGGCCTTATGCACGTACATACAGTCTAAACATGTTATGCCATCTTTTTTTCAGTTTCTGTGCACATTTCAGCCTCGTTAGCCCACTATTACAGGCTATCATCTGCATTTGATGTGTGCATTTATGCTGTTTCTGCTTTGATTTCAACTCTGTACGCTGTGCGAAAGGATGAACTGGTCATGTACCCACATTTCAAATTTGCTTGAAAGTTAAACCCACTTCGACTGTGCCGATATCATCATTGTTTCCCACACTGACAAAAATGACCGGAACTTGAGTGACTGTATCTATTTAGACATTTTCTTTAAATTTAAAAGAAAGAGTCTTGACCCCAGAGCGTTATCTTTGGCCAACAGGGATGGACGTCTGCAGAAAGGTGATGAGATACTGATGGTCAATGGTCACAGCCTGCTGGCCGTGACTCATCAGGACGTCGTGGACGTCCTGAGCAAGTCCGGAAGCATCGTCCAATTGGTCATCGCGAGAAAGGTACATGCCCATCTTTGTTCAGTTTCATTTGAACCCTAACCCCTGTTAACAAATGAAACAGTGATTAATAGCGCACTGTATAGCATGCGACCAAAAACTGCTGCACTTTTGTTTCCTTTTGTGGCATTCAGCAGGAGCCTCATTTCAAGTGTGTGAGACAACTGTCAGTCTTCAGCCCAGATGAGACCTGATAGGGGTTAGCATTCAGTGTTTGATAATAATAACCCATTTACATGTAGTTAGGAGCCCAGAACACTTCCCTTTTTCCCACAAAATCACTGCAGTTTTCCTCCACAAACATGTACCCTGATACATGTACTGTACGTGTACCGCACATGTACATGTACATGTATGTGCACATGTTCCAGAAATACATGTATGGCCATTTACCGCCTTACAAACAGTTTTTGGAGCTTTTGAACACCACCTTGGCAATGATTGATCCATCAACGATTGCATCTTTGTCATTGCTCCCTCTTTACCGTCTATTCACCCTGACCCCAAACCTCAAAAAAAGGACACCTGTCTTGCTTTTAGATTAGATAAAGGTGTTCCATAGCATACAATATCACCTCCAGCACTATGACTAAGCTGTCAAAACCTGTTACCAAATTGACAGTGAAATCATGTTTTTTTGTGTCTCCACAAGAGATCCTTTAAAAATATCCACTCCTTCAGATTAAAACAGAAAGATGCCTGCTCCATTCCCGTGAGGTTTGGCCAGTTGGACCAGGACAGCAAATCCAGACACTGAAGAGAGACAGCCCTGGGGCATGGCTGTAGGTTACTTGGAAAATAGAATGGCACTCAGGAATGCACGGGAGCAGTGGAGTACATGGCATGCCATTTGTAACGTCTCCCCCTTAGAGATTCTGCCTCTTGATTGGTCAATTTAAGACTCAATACCACATATCACATTGAATTGACCTGCATGTAAGTGCCAAGACATTTCCTTCCTGAATTGTTTTCCATGCACAGCAATCAGATTACACGTACCATGTCCTTGGCAACCAATTTTCTTTTGTCTCCAAAGGTATACGCATACATGTATGAGGGCCTGTTTGTTTCATACGGATCTGGGTCTTGATCAGTGATCCTTACGCTGGTTCATGCCATCCATTAGGCGAGTTTTGATGTCTGTATTAAACCAACGACAGATCACTGATTGTGATCCAAATCTGTGTGAAACAAACACAGTTTTGAGTTGGACATATTTTATGGGAAGCATCTTACCTGTGTACTTGTAATAAGTACTACCTTTAGCACTGACAAATGAATAAAATCCTAGATGGAAAAAGCTTGTCCATGAAGCCTGCATTTGATATGGTTTTGTTGTATCAAACATGTCAAGGTAACCTCCAGAAGTCTATATGTGAAAATAGTACCGGACATGTACATGTACCTGTAAGTTAGACCCTCAAGTCCTCCTCCAGTATTCTGATGTCAGACTTACTTGTTCAAAGTTTAGATGCAGCACTTTTATGCATGAAATCCAAACACTGTCTTCTGTTTTCATTCCGTTGGTTTTGGATTAAAAATTAGGGGTGTGCTGTTTAAAAGATTTAGATGCCCAAACATTTTTGTTGTGCATACATGTACATGTGTGTGGCTGATATATAAACCATACACTTACAGGTACCTTGAATTTGAAGCCAATATTTCCACAGGTACGTCCAAACATGATTGAAACAACATTCGCAGCAGTTACTTTTGGCGGGGATTAACCTAGTTTAAGGTGTTTCTTAGAATATTCGTTAAAAGGCAGATTCACCTGGGAAAAACTCCTGAAGGAAGGGAAGTTGTCCTTTCGCTGATAAGCGAGATTTCACCTGTGTGTTTCCACACCCATTGGATCGCACATGTTTTGTTTTTCCAAGGAATAGTGCCAACTGGTACCAGTAGGTGTGCCTGCCATGTAATCGATTCCCCACCATCGCAATATCACCTTTGACCTCAACCTTCCCTGGTGCAGGTGAACTGGGTGGGTTTTGTGGTGTTTTCCTGCAGGGTTTGTTATCCTGTGAGTTGGGAATTTTCCTTGGAGAGATTTTTCTAAGATCAGAGGAGTGTTTCTATGGTAAACGTACATGTATTTGAAGAGATAAGCCACCTTCCTGTCCTAGCTGGCCGGCTGTTCTTTTCAGGCTTGAGGCTTTTTTTTCCTATAGTCATAGGTGTAATTTTGCTCAGCAAAATCTGCCTGTGACCAAATTTCTGTTTCAGATATATAGACAAAAATTTACAAACTGAATTAGGGGGCAGATTCACTCACTATATCCATCAGCTATGCTTCCAGTCCATTTCAAATAATGGCTTGTGGTAACAGCTTCATGCACATGTACAATTGTTCATATTCAGTAAAAGCCGTGGGCATTTTACCACATGCGTACCTTTGCTCTAGTATGTCATTTCTTAAGCACTTTGAAATTGAAATCAAGAGTAATAAAATTTGTTGAAAGGGTGTAATATAGAATCAAATGTTTTAAATTGTTCAGTACCTCACTTGACAGATGAGACTTTCAGCTGTTCAGTGTTCTCCCTTTAAAGAAAAAGAAGGAAATAAACCTCCTCATCTCCACTGTTTAGATTAACCAAAAGGTGCCTTTCCAGTGACTTGCAACTTGTTGAGATTGATATTGCAGGAATTGGCCAGAAATCAGCAAGTTAGATAAGATCTGGCTGTTAAGTGTATTCCCCAAGTGTGCAACCTAACCTAGGCTGGTAAAGCCCTCAGCTACAAGCTGTACACAGAGCCCCCCCCTCTCCTTGACTGCTGTGAGTCAGTTCAACTGGTTACCGTAATGTGCATGTATATGAACGCTCTTGAACTGCTAGCAGCTGCTGTAGATGCACAGTGTGGCCTCTCTATGGGATCATTTTAGTGTTGTGAATTTTGGAGTGGCCTCCAGGTTTTCTGACAAAAGCTGATGTAAAACAGCAGTTGTGATGATCTTTAGGGACAGGGTGTCAAAACAAGGAAGGGGACGAGGAACTAGTCCAAAGGGTGTCCTTTCATCCAAGCCTGTACCTAGAATTTAAAATAATTCCTCACACTAACCATTATAGCCACATGTAACAAACAGCCTGATGGACGACATGCCAACTTTGACACAATTCACTTTCTTTGAAGAAATGCGCTGTGAGCATACATGTACAACAATCGGCTCTCTTTTTTATTTTGATCCACTTTGGTTCCATCCTTTTGATTGTTTTTCCATTGGTAGTATCCACTGGGATATTGAACCAACCCTATAATTGTAAAGTCTCACCACATATGGCTTTGAGGTCATTCTCAGAAAAGCTGGGTGATTTTTCTGCCAAGCTCTGCCAGTTTTGGGCTCTAGATGTACCCCTTGGGGAGAAGGACATCTGAAACTTTTTGTGGTCACCTGCCTTCCTTAGGACATCTGAAAATAACCCCCTGCAAGATGACTTATCAGATTTCTCTTCATCACCAACTCTCACCCTCAGGGTGCACATACAAGAAAAAAATGATGAGTAGAAAAGAACACAAAATATACAGCAGAAAACTCTCTCACCACACGAGGTGTGAAAAATAAGAAAATACTTTATTCAAGAAGGAAGGATGGATGATCGAATCAAACAGAACCGTGTAGCGAAAACGGAAACTCGATAAATCGAAGATGCCTAGAGGGACACGTCTGTTACGTTACTGCACTGAGAAAAGAAGGATGGTCATGGCGGCAAAACCCTGTTGCATTGTGGGAGGTCAGGTTGCACCATGGAAGATTGAATCTTTTCAGCAAATAATAAATAGGCACATGGGAAATTTGCATATGTAGTGACTGTTTGGGCAGGTATGTTCTAGTAGACCTGGCCCACACTTAATGTGGGGGAGGAAATTCATGGCCGTCATTCATGTCATTCATGATTTTTGGTTCATGACAGAGGAAACATCGCTATCGCCAACGGCAAGAGCATCTCGGCCTCAGCCAGACAACGTCCAGCACCTCAGACTCGGAGAGTATCTCCAGTCAGCAGTCTACGCCACGCAGTTCGCCACGTGGCTCGGCACGACTGACACAAGGCCGAGAACAGCCTGATCCTTCGCCTGGTCCTCCTGCTCTAGCAAGGGATGAGGTCGATTATGGAACTCTCAGGTAAGAGAGCATTCCATTTCCCTCCCCCCAACCGCCATCATTGGACTATATTTTAAATGTCATCCGATTTCCAGTCTTTTGATTAGAAACAGCTTATCATCTGATCGCACTCACTCGGTGGCTTTCCGCCGAGCAAGAAATATGAGCCAGACCAAGGTGTTGCCAAAACATCACACAAAGTTCCCGTAATCCAGAGGTGCCCTCCTCTTTCCCCCCAGGGTGGAAAGAAGCAATTGTAGGGAGGAAAAAAATACGCACCATGTGTGTCGCTGCCGTGGTTTTCAGCCCTTTCCACAACCAAATTTCTTATCGTGCAGTTTGACGGCAACTCGCATGCGTAGTGTGTTTGTAAAAGAGTTCACTGTAGGTCAGTCAGAATTGCTGTGAAACATTCTGTGTATTGTGAACACATGCTGCTTCATCAGGCAAACAGACTTATTTCTGGAAATACAGTGTATGTACAGTATTAGCAATATTGCATTCCATCGCTTTGCTTCAAGTACATACCTAATCTCTACAAAACTAACCCAAATCAATGAAGTGAACGATGGTGTTGTGGTCACTGATACACTTATGGTTGACCAGAGTTTGACCTTACACAGTAACCTTATGTGAAGGGTCCCGTTGGGCCCCTGTGACAAGATTTCCAGACTGAGCAACTACTGGAACTGCAGCTGCAATGCATTTCAGGCCTTTTGAGACTCGTGAGTAACCATGATTGAGTATATGAGTTGAGAGAGCATCGGGAGGAAGGAGAATGGTACACAATTGATGCAGACCAACTGAACCTGCTTCTAGGGCTAGGGGTGAAAACTTCAAGAAGGCTTACCATCAAGTGGGTAAAGATGGGTAGAGTTTGGGTCTTTTCGGAAAGGGGTACTTGTAATTTAAGTGCTGACCTTCAGCATTGCCACCCAGCATTGACACTAATTCTCCATTTCAGCGTAACCACAAATCTGTTTGATCAAGATGAATTGATAATTGAAGAGCAGTGCTGTTCATGCACAACGTACACCTTGCGTGAAAACTTTGGCCAACTTCTGAGGGTGTTTAAGAGTTGTTCAGCATCTCTGATCTGTATGCATTGCTGTACATGTACATGTAGACATACATGTATACAGAAATTTTCAGTTGAGTGCTTTGTACTCATTTGCTTGAAAATGAGACCAGACCCTAATTTTTGTGGAAGGATCGGTGTACAGGCAGTGATCCCATTTGTAATTTCTAGCAAGGGGTCCGCAGATACAGCTGCCAGACAGATGTTTCTCGGAGATCTGCTGCCCATTTACGGTAGTTAAGACATGTCAGATATCAAAGACCTTGACCATTGCCTCCAGTGACCAACAGATAATCAGGGAGAAGGTTCTGTCATAGGTCATTCCATTATGGTGGTTTGCATAGAAGGGAACTGATCCTTTACCTCTGTTCAGGGGAGATCTAATGTCTATTAATCAGGGGTGGTAAGCACAATTTGTTATCCAAACAACCAAATGGAAGAAAAAAAGTGGCTGTAAATGATGATCAACTGATATCCCCAATCTGTAGGACCTCATTTCCCCCCTGGCAGCCACCCAGCCAATCCAAGCTGGCTTTCATTAGGGACTGAGGTGAAGTTTACGTTAGTCTCCTTGTTTCTCCAATTACCTAATTCCCTGGTGGTTCCACATGAAAAAAAGTAAAAAGGTCGCTTCAGATTTCACTGTGGATCCAGTTCAAACTGGTATGGTGTTACTCAGCACAGGCAGATAATTACCGAGGGTCTGTCCAGTGCCGCTGTAAAAGAACACGGACAAGTAGATTTTCTGTTGACATGTCCTGTAGTCGCATGGATTGCTCAAGTATAACTTGAATTTGACCAATTTGCATTTCAGTGCAGGTGCACAAGCTGTGCAGATGATTTTGTTGTGTTTTTTTTAGTGCTTGTAACACATGTACACTTTCACGCAGTGTATGGATGTACATGTACACATACACCTGCGTAGTACAGTACATATATGGTCAATTTCACAGAGCTTGGTGAGACCAAGTGGTGTCTGAAATATTTCAAACAACTTGGATATGTAGGAAAGTTCTGCTTTTTGTACTCTCTCCTGAAAAGTCGATGAATAATGTACCTAATCACGAACTCTGTCCACTTGTTCGGAAATGATCTTGGTGTTTCTTTCAAACCACTCATCAAATCTTGAATATTTGCGTAGCTATGGATTTCATCACCCTTGACCATGTTGAAAAAAGCCAGTGATTTGACTCTGTCATGCGATATCTTGTGCCTCGGAAATTGGGATTTGATTCCGAATCTTAACTGGATGAAAGCGGAATTGGTTCTCAAAGTTGGAGTCCCTGGTGCCTCCATGTAAGACATGAGATGAAAGAGCTGTACATGTATGTATCCCCCATCCCCGGAACGTTTAATGTCAGAGATGTCAGACGCAAGCGCAGGTGCCTCTTGACCGTACCGTGAACTCCAGAGTTGATCCTCTAACCCTGTCCTCCCCCCCCCCCAGGAAATGGACCAGCATTCACTCTCCAGTGCCCCTGCCTGAGAATCGTCGAGTGGAAGACTTGCAAAAATTGCTCGGGATTCTAATCACGCCACCTTTTTGCAACTGAAAATGTCTTTGGTTTTTGCCACCGGTGTTTCCACACCATGATTTGTTAGTTGGAAAAAAAGTTACATTTTGAAAAACTTCTTTAATTTTTAAAGGCAGTTTGTATCCAAATTGAGGAGGATGCTTATCCTGCTCCAACAGTCCTATTTCTAAACTTGCCACAGATCGGAGCTCTCTGTGTGCCAGCTGTCGACAAAGTGTCAAATTAGAAATCTGTGGTACTCTGCGCAATCTTCATTCAGTTTTCATTAGCGGAGCCTATCTTCCAGAACTCCTGTTCTGCTAGTGCTTTGCTGGTGTCAGCTGCAAACAAGCTGTCACGTTGTTAACCACTGCCCCCAAGACACTGTACACTGCATGGTTGGTGTATAGCACTGGCGATGACGGTTCAGTTCTTGATGAGGCCTAGGTGGATGAGCAGCACACAGTCCTGTCCTTGGGCAACCAGTCTCCCCACTCTGTCCCCCCTTCCACTTCCCATGACAGGCATTGTCATGCTGCCACTTCCCCACCATCCCTGGACATTTCCTGCAACTGTGGCATCCTTTCCGTTAACAAGGAGCAGAGATCGTGTCTGGGCCACTGGGTCAGAATCGCTGCACTCTGGGGTCTCTCCCCTACCTGGATTCCATCAGCCATGGTTAAACGCAGGGGACTTATAGGTTGTAACTGCCCTAGGGATGTCCAGACCCATCTTGGCAAACAGTGTGCAGTGACAGCTAAGGGCTGTTACAGTGAGGAATAAAAGCACGTCCCAGACTTCATTCTGTGATGAACTGCCACATGCAATAATCAGAGTTGGTGATGTGATCATTGGCACTGCCGATTTTCCCTGAGGTTGAATTACATGTACATGTACCTCACCAGCCTGTTTGTCATTGCAAATGAATCACCACCAGCCAGAATGGAAGAGTTTCCTGGTCTGGTCCAGTATCTTGTAAGGAGGCTTTCACCATACGTGTATGCTGTCTACTCCTGGTTGCGTTTTAAAGCATTTTGTGGTTACAGTCGCCGGACGAGTAATTCACACAACTGTCCATAAATACTTTCCTTGCAACATTAATCTTTAACTTCCAGATTCTGTGGCAGTCTGTAAAAAAAGTTAACGTTTCACAAAGATGGTTGCACTGTACCCACAGCTTTTTATGACTTTTTATCCAAATGTTCGTAGACCACACACTTCCAACAAGTTTAGTGTACAAGAAAGCAAACTGTAGGTTGATAAGTAGAGAAAAATGTACATATTTAGGTATGAATCGTGCCTTCTCATGTGCACCTAGGCCTACCCCTTTATACAGAAAAATAGGCTTTCAGTAAAAACAGTGCCAATAATGTACCCGTTGCAGGCTGACGCAAGTCTACCAGTGATGTAACCTGGAAGTGAACTGCGGTCGGTTCTGCGGTTGCCTTTAGCGACCTGTATTAATCTCGCACAGCCCCCCTGTTTGTCGCCTGGAATGAAACTACCATTTTGGCTTAAAGTTACATTCACATGCACTGTGTTACTGGTCATGGAATCCTTCTGAATTTTTCAGTCTCAAGTGAGAAGCAGGGAAAGAGCAAGTTTTGTTCCCCAGATTGGTTGAAATTAAGATTCAGATCTGTACATTTAAGCATTTTCACCGCCTGGAATACAGTCCACATCAACTCATACACTCGTGATGCTGATCAGGTTTAGAAGTGAGTTCACTAAACCCAACACCTCAACCAGAAGTATCTGTTGTCACCTACGTGTACAGCAACAGGAATTCCTTGGCTTAGTCCTACAGTTGACTCATGCACTTCAATCTGTCTGTAGTCTCTGGACCCCATTGTGCCCCATGCCCGTGCAGTGTCTCGCATGATGCCACCGTGTATGCTTCTCTCATAGATAGACCTACATGTAAAGTAGTCCTAAAGTTCTGAGTGCCTTAAGTGTGCTAAGAGCAAATGTGGTAGGGTCTTCATGCACATGTATGTACAGAGGAGAATTCTTTTCTTCTTCAGCAATGAAGATTCTTGCAACTGGGGTACCGCATGCACTTGCTCCCTCGCATGTGGCTAGGAATGCACTGAACCCATTGATGGAGGGGGGAGGTGCCCCCACTGGGGCAGTTTTCAAAGAAAATGTCCCCTTGTACTATAGTTACTGGTACATTACACAGAGATAAAGTCTCAAGTTTTGCACAAGGCCTCCTGAGTGGCTGCACCTGACCATCTCCTTTTCTTGCATAGAGTCTAGGTGTAGAGGCAGTGTTTTGTTAACACCTTCAGACTCTATGCAAATGAAATGTTTTGGAAAATAGTAGACATTTGCAGATTCACATTCCTTGGCCGCATCTGCAGTAGTCTGACATTTGTCCAGTGGATTTTTTTTTCTTAAAAAAAAAAAAGTGCTCAAATGTTTCATGA